TATGAATTTTGTGTAAATATTTGTAACTATTTTTGTTTACACACTTGTTTGAATAATATCAACTTTTACTAAGTGATAACACTCTGACCTCTGAGATTCATGACCCAGTGGAGAAATTTAAGCACATATTCTAGTCAGACATCTGAGTGCAGGACTGTGGCACTTTCTGCTGAACTGTTTCAGGTACTGACTTCCAGATGAAATGTTAATATCTTCCTAAACAACCTATTCAGACATATTATAGTACACCTTTGGAGGAGGTCGGACTTGAACCTGAGCCTCCTGGTTCGGAGCTAGAGACACTACCACTGTAGACAAGAGCCCTCTAGGTGAAATGTTAAACTGAGCTTCTGTCTTCTTCCCTCAGGCAAATGTGAAAAGCTGAATAAAAACCGAAAGAACTGCAGATGCTGTAAATCAGGAACAAAAACAAAGTTGGTGGAAAAGCTCAGCAGGTCTGGCAGCATCTGTGAAGGAAAAAACAAAGTTAACGTTTCGGGTCCAGTGGCCCTTCCTCAGAACTTGAATGTTGAATGTGAAAAGCTCTTCGATATTATTCAAAAGAAATGCAAGGGAATTCTCACAATTATCACTCAACCAAAATGACTGAAGCAAATTATTTGGTCATCATTACCTTGCACTTCGTGGGAGCGTGCTATGTAGAAATTTGTTGTTACAATTTCCAACAACTGTAAATATATTTCAGAGGTACTTCCTTAGCTTTGACACATTTTGGAATGACCTGATACTATGCAAAATGCAAATTCTTTCTTCCTTCTTAATTACTACCACAATAACATAGTTTTGCTGCTCAAGGCCTTATGGAATGTAGCATCAATACTAGCTCTTCTATTTAGAATGAATTGATACTGAATTCTAAACATATCCAAGTATGTCTCATTCACTGTGTAATGGACATGCCATTTGGAATGGAAAATATTGATTATAAATTTACTTTTAATTGCAGAGTTCCCATTAATATGTGGGATTTGTGGTGTCATTAAAACCTAAATGATACAACAATAAACCCATTAATAGTCCAAAGTATTTGATACTATTTGACATTGCAATATGATAAATATCTAAATGTCAAGAAAATGATTCAGCAGACCTATGATGAATTGCAGCAATTGCAGACGTTAGATCATCAAAAAAAATACTGGCAGTATATTGTTCCCAAAAGTTTTAATAGTTGTTTCTTTGATTTATTTTGTGTATGCCATATTGGATAGTCCAGTAAATGACAAATTGAGCTTCTCCAAAACCTACCTCATAACTCTTTCTCATCCAACAATTGCCACTTGTTATGTATGTAGTTGGGGGCATGTGTAAGAGAACAGATCAGGTGACCCAGAAATGGGAGCCTTAGGGGAGTCAAGATCTGACTATGTAGTTGTAAAGACATTTAATAAACTGTTCCTGAGTTGGACTTCTACAGCTCTACCTCATGGTCTTTTTATAACTTATAATTAGACCCAAACATGGCACCTCTTAAGGCAAAAAAAATCCTCCTCTGAAGTCTCATTGGTATGGTAATATTATTGCAGCACAGAAGCAAGCTATTCAGCCATTAAGACAATGCCATTGCTAATGCTCTACCCTTTTACATCTAACCCCATCAATATACTCCTTCCTCCTTCATGTGCTTCTCTATTTTCTCCTGAAATGCATCTATGCTAGTTACATCCATGAAAAATCACCAGTCCTACCAGACTATGGGGCTGCTCTCTAATTAAAGAGAGATGATGGTGTTGGTTTAACATGTGGGGTCACCACGCCTCTGGTGATGGGAGAGGTTGAGAAGGAGCCCACGAAGGTAACCCACTCTCCATTTGCAAACCATTCAAGTTAACCAACTCCTTTTTTTTTCCTTAATGGGATGAGGATGTTGCAGGCTAGGCAGCATTTATTGCCCATCCCTAATTGCCTAGAGGGCTGTTCAGAATCAACCACATTGCTGTGGGTCTGGAACCACATGTAGTCCAGAACAGGTAAGGATGGCAGTTTCCTTCCCTTAAGTGCGTTAGTGAACCAGAGGGGTTTTTCCTGACAATTGACAACTGACAACAGATTCATGGTCATCATTAGATATTTCCAGATATTTTTATTGAATTAAAATTCCACCATCTGCTGTGGCAGGATTTGAACACAGCCCCCAGAACATTATCTCTGTCTCTAGATTAACAGTCCAGCGATTAATACCACTAGGCCATCACCTCCCCAACACTCCTACTAGTCCTTAAACCATATGGTTCCTCATTTACATCACTCTCTGAGCAAAGGAGTTTTATTGAATTCCCTATTTAATTTATTAATGACTATCTTATATTTATGACTGTTAATTCTGGTTGCTGCCACAATTAGAAATATATTTTTAATGTACATCTAATTAAACTCTTTCAAAATCTTAAGGATGTCTATTTGGCTTCTCTCAGCCTTATCTTTTTGTAAGAAAGTAGTACAGACTTTTCAGCCTTTCCTAAAGTGCCTCTCAGAAAATCTGAATTCTTGTATCTATTAGGATAAAAGCTTACCCTAAAATTTAAATTTCAAGGCATTGCATATTTCACTAGCTTGTTGAAACCTAATAAACATGATAGAATCATATTCTCAATGTGTAAGGCTCATCATGATTTGACAAATATTAACGAAATGTAAAAGTAAAAGGAAATGTCAGTTCTGGTATTTTTGGGTCAATATAAGATATTCTGTTTGCTAAAATGGTGCAAGCATTTGTTTCAGCAAAGGAAGATGTTGGGAATTCAATGCAGTCGGTCAGTATCCTGAAAGTCAGAAAATTTAAAGTTTGGTGAATGACACTTCAAGCATCACCCCTATCTTATTTTTCAAATACTAATCAACTTTTATGGGTTTTCACTCTTTGTTTTTCCGGGGTAGACAATGGTGTAGTGGTAATGTCACTGGACTCCTAATCCAGAATGCCGGGCTAATCTTCTGGACACCAGGGTAGATGGTAAAATTTTAATCAAATAAAAAGCTAGCCTAATGGTAACCATGTAACCACTCTGGACTTTTGTCAAAACCCATCTGATTTTCTAATGTCCTCTAGGGAGTGAAATCTGCTGTCCCTATCTACTTTGGCTGACATGTGACTCCAGGCCCATAGCAATGATTCACCCTTAAAACTTCCTGGGCAATTAGGGATTGGCAATAAATGCTGACCCAGCCAGGATGCTCTCATCCCCTGAATGAATAAAATAAAACTTACAGTCTTGCTATATCTGGCTATGCTAGTAATATGGTAGATCACTACAATATTGTTTCTTTTAGTTATTTAACCAAAAAAAGCCACAAAGTCACCTAAACATCACTTTAAACAAGCTTTAGGTATTAGAGTGCAGGGTGAGTTGGACATTTATAGCACCATCCACTCCACTTCTTGTAGTATCAGTATCATTTCATAAAAATCCACTTTAAATTGACACAGTTAACTCAAACAGTATAGATTTATTAGTTTAAACTTCTGTTAATGTTCCTGTATAGTAACATTTACAGATAAATAGTCAGGAGTAAATTCTCAAATGGTGAATTATGTCTGAGACAATCTGGCCAGTGGTCTCATTGCTACAGGAATGATGTTAAATTTGAAAGGGTTCAGAAAAGATTTACGAGGATGTGGCTGGAATTGGAGGGTTTGAGCTATAGGGAAAGGTTGAATAGGCTGGGGCTACATTCTTTGGAGTGTCAGAGGCTGAGAGGTGACATCATTGAGGTTTGAAAAATCATGAGGGGCAGAGATAATTTGAAATGCCAAGGTAGGAGCAAATTACTGCAGGTACTTGAATCTGTACTGAAAACAAAAAATGCTGGAGATCACAATAGGTTGGGCAGCATCCATGGGGAGAGAGCAAGCTAACGTTTCGAGTCTAGATGACTCTTCATAAAGTTGAAGTGAAGTGTGGAGAGGGCAGCATTTGTGCAATTGTTGGGCGAGTTGGAGTGCTGGGAGAGAAAGAATGTTGTTAGTTCAGATTTAGTGATCAGAATATGAGAATGGTAGAACAATGGTGTGTCTGACTGCCAGACTGGAAAGAACAGACAGTCCTGCTGGAATGGGTGCAGTGGTGAGGACACGGTGACAGAGAATTTAACAAGCAAAGCTGAAGGAAAGGGCTTACAATTTGAAGGTTTTGAACTCAATATTGAACCCAGAAGGTTGTAAAGTGCCTAGTTTGAAGATGAGACGTTACTCCTCCAGTTTTCGCTGTGGTTTGGTGGAGATTAGGTTGCTTTCTCTCCAAAGGTGTTGCCTGACTCACTGTGATCTCCAGCATTTTTTATTTTCAATCTGAAGAGTCGAGGTCTTTTTTTTCCCCCCAGCATAGGGAAGTACAAAATTAGAGGGCAGAGGTTTAAGGTGAGAGGAGTAGATATAAAAGGGACCTAAGGGGCAACTTTTTCATGCAGATAGTGATCCGTGTGTGGAATGAGATGCCAGAGGAAGTGGTGGAGGCTGGTACAATTACAACATTTAAGAGGCATCTGAATGGATATATGAATAGGAAGGGTTTAGAGGAATATGGGCCAAATGCTGGAAAATGAGACTAGATTAATTTAGGTATTCTGGTCAGGGGCATGGACGAGTGGGACCAAGGGATTTGTTTTCATGTTGTACAACTCAATGACTTTAAAATATGGAGAACATTAAATGCAGCTGGAATCTAATTTACGAACATTGTTGGGGAGGTAAAGACCACATTAGATAAATATATAGGTTATATCTCGTTGTGTTATGGTTTTCCTGTTAAACCTATTGCATTCGACTCATGAAGATATTGATGATGTTACATCCTTTGCGAGGTAGTCCATGGTCCAAATGAAAATACAACTGAAGGTGTAGGAAAGCTAGGCACAGTCCTTTCTGGTGCAGAGTACGCGGAAGCGATTGGGTTGATAACACTGATCCACTGAATGTGCATTGGTTCCCTTCAGAGCTGGCGCTCCAGCTCACGATTTGCATGACTTTAGTTGTCAGTTGGCAAGAGTTTTTTTTAATGCAAGCTACACGTCACGGGGCCGGGCTCTCTCCCCAGGAAATACCTTTGAACAGAAACTTCAAAACTCCCAAATGATGTGCACTGTTCAAATTTGGGACCCGGACCGTGCGGCTGGTCTCATGGGTGCGAGGGGTTAGACCTAACATTATATTTTAGCGACAACATTTTTCCGACTTCAGCTACAGTGCTAGCTAAGTCTGGAAATTCGAATTTGAAAAAAAAAACTGGCGGCGCTTGCCTTTTCAGAAACTGTTTATAGGATACATTTCCAAATCAGATCTTTTTTTAAAAAAAAATTAAGAGAAAAAAATCAGAACCCATTAAGAACCCTGCTAAAGTAACAAAAATTACCTTTAAATATGGGGAAGACAGAAACCAAGTCTCAGAAGAGGGGCTGCTGCGGTAAGTGCTTTACTATATAGCATTTGGAGAGCTTTACATTTAAACTTTTAATGCAGTATTTTGGAAATTGTTTGAGAATATTTAATACTCAACCAACGTATTAAATGTTTTAAAGGAGTCCCTGAAATACTCTTATTTTGAATTGACTTGAAATGTGTATTTTTCTTGTCCTTTAAACGACAGTCTCATTTGTTGGATATTTCAAGACGACTGGCTTTCTTATTTACCTTTGCCATGGACTGTCAACATGGGTAAGTTCAGCTGCGAAATTCCAACTGTTGTTTTTCTTGGTTTCTATTTTGCTTCCATTGCATTGCAACTAGCTGGGTAAAGACTCCTTTGGTGGTGGTTCTGTTGAAACATCAAAAGTAGATTGACTTAAAAAATGTTCTGTTCAGTACTTATAGTGAACTGCCAATTGTATTTGTAGAAGAGGTAAACAGAGAGAATCTTCTCAAATACAGTTATATTGCAGCCTCAGGTAGGGATCAAGGGAAATCTTAATGATATTTTACAATGGTGCTGGTATTGATTTGAAATACTGTAACTCACGTTCCAATATTTGGGAAAGTTGCCTTCGTGCACAGATGGTCTGACCTAATTGAACCTTTCAAAAAATGTATAAAAGTCCCTCCTTCAAAAGGGAGTAGATGATTATAAGCTTGTCACAAAGCAGGAGAGAAGGGCAACTGTGTCCTTCTGGACAAGGGTCCTAAGACCAGCTTAAGTCAAATGGAATTGTTGAACTTTTGTTCATTAAATCTGACGCTCTTTTGTAAGTCAATGAAATGTCTCAGATGAAACTAAAAGGGTGAAATACAGATGCAGCAAATTCGAGTCTGTGGAGCCACAGGTCTGAGGCAGCAGTTGAAATAAAAAGCTGAAAAGTGATCAAGAATGTCTGCCTCGGAGGAAAGTGGACAAAACCCACCTCTCATGGAAATTAAAATCTGTCATTTTGAGAAGGGAGTGTTTTGGCTCTAACTGAATATACTGACACAGAGCCCAATCCTATTTCCAATGATCTTTGCTACAAACAAGAACTTCATACACTATTTAATCGTGGACACTTCAGAAAAGCAAAACCAAAACTGTTTTACTTTATATTACAGTGTCAATACCTACTGAGTTGAGGAACCAAGGAGCACAAAATGGCCTGAATATTAGTTTGGACAATGCTTGCCTTTAAATCAATAGGTTGTATCCTCAACATACACTGTAGGTCATGAGTAAATATTCCAGGCTGATGCTTAAGTGCAGTACTGAGGAGCACTACATTATCAGATCTGTGGTTTTTTGAATGTAGAATTAAATCAAGGACCACCTGCATATTCAGGTGAATGGAAAAAAAAAATCTGCTAGCGCTAGTTAAAGAAGTTCAGGGCTCTAAGCCAACATTCCTTCCTCAATCAGCATCTTGAAAACAAACAATTTGTGGAATATTGCAGTGTAAAAAATATTGTCATGGGAACAGCCATGTCAGGGATTCTTTCAGTGGATTATTTCTCAATTGTGCTTCAAAACATTTTAATTTTATCCTCTATTGTAACTTTTTTGAATTCCCTTTCTCTTATTTTGGATAATTTAGAACTGTATTTCATTCTAGTTTAATAGTGAAAACCTCCTTCATATCTTGCTTGTGCTTCTCCCTACTGATGCACTGTTCCGTGTTCTGTTTCTGTCTAATGCTCTTCCACAGTTCCTCGTTTACCTCAACTCTCACCATTTTGTCCATTTTGCGTGCCTTTTTAATTACATAGCTGGGAGTGATTAGTTTTCTTTTGTACAATGGACACGTTATACAGAAAGCTACATGCCATACTGAATGAAAATAAAACTTTTAAGTCTCTTGATACATTTTGTCGCAGTCTTTGTCCCACAAACCCAGTTCTGTTTACATAAAATGTATTTTAACTGCATGGGAATCTGCACAGTTTGTGTTGCAACTGGGTGTTCATTCAAAGTTTCGCAATTACAAATGCCAGGTCCTTGTTTTTTCTCGTGTGGTGTAGAAGACTCATTTAAGAGATAAAGGAGACCATTTGATGGGAAAAAAAGACCATGACATTGTCTGCTTTAGTGGTTCTTGTAGCCTTGCCTACACGATGGATCGCTTTGCCAAGGTTTCATTGTCCAGCATCATTTCTAATTCAGTGAAGCAGAATATCCACCATTTTAGATGTACACTTACAATGCCAAGGCTTACAAAGTTATCAGCCAAGCAGTGGAAATGAGATTAGAATAGCGAGGTGGTTGTTTTTGGCCTGCACAGACTCAATGGGTTGAAGGGCCTTTTTTGTACTGATGATATCTATGACTCTATGATTCCAATCCATAGTGCATATTTCCATTGAGGGATAACTTCCAGAAATAGTCCTGACTAGTTTACACCACTAGAAGCAACAAAACAAGATTCTGCTATCAGCTGGAATAAGTTCCTAGTGAAGTTACTGTGTATTTCAAAATAACAATACCCTGATGTATGAGAATATCCAAATATGGTCCAGATTTTCCAAAGTTCAGGTAATCATTCCTGACGTATGGATGGGTGTTGTGCACAAGGACCCTGTGGCATCCCCAGCATAGCAGAGTCTGAAGGAATTGCTCAGTAAATTGAATATTCCGCTCAGCGATTCCCCTATGTATAGAATCCTCCGAAAGTATCCATTTAAATCTGAGAATTTGGAGATATCTGCTGCTTTTAAGTAAATAGCTACAGAAGAAAAAATATTCATTTAAAAATCTAGTCCAACTGTTGAATAACTAGTCAACTGAGCCCACAATTTGCCACACACACATTCTCACTTACATCTGCCCCAGACCCCTTACACCCCCAGATCCTAACCTGACTTCCCCCTCTTTCCTGGGGACCTGATCCCATCCCCTCTGCCACCCGAACCAACAATGGCCCCACTCTAAGCCCTCTCCCTCGTGGACCTGACACCTCCTCTTTCCCCTTCGCCCTTTGCCCCAGGAGCCAATACCGTCCCTGCCATCGCCCTCAGGACCTCACTCCACTCTGCCACCAGATCTGGCCCTAATCCCCTTCTTTCAGACCTGGCAGCAACCCTCATCTGCTGCTGGACTAATGTCACCCACTACCTCTTTCTGGACATCATCACACCTCTGCATGACTTAATGCCCACTCCCCAGCTGTCAGACCTTACCATCTCTCCTCACTGCCTCATCTGTTCCTGCTGGAGGACCTGACATGACACCTCCCCCAGAACCTGACACCCAACCCACTGCTCCCCC